AGCATAATGAGCTGCTGTCTAGTACTCCTGAGTACATATGGCTTCCTTCACCATGACACCATCCGTTTTGATAATGTGGGAATCATGCATGATTGGCTTGTGAGTGGAACAGGTCAGGAGAAAGAAAAGTCAATGTATATGAAACACAAGGAATAGTGTTTGCTCATAAGTTGCCTACCAAAGCAGGGAAAGTAAGACAAATAATTTTTGTTTTAAATCTCTGTAAGAACTAAGAAATGGATAATTTACATCCTTTTTACTCTTTGATTACAGGAAAGCCAGACTGCAACTTACTGAGCTCCTCCCTCAGGAAATTGAAAACAGCCTACAGAAAAATCAATCTGAGGAGGATGCTAAGAAAATTGAAGTCCTGCTAAACCTTCCTAGAAACCCTTCATCACCAGATAAACAAGATAAGGATTGAGAATGTTCCAGACTTGAAACTCATGGGAGAGTCAATGGAGCTATGTTGCTGTAGTCATGAATGCCAGTGCCCGTCTCCTCTGGCATTGGACCAGCCTGCTGACACATGTACGCACTGGCTCCTGTGGTGGCAGTGACTTTCTCCTCTCTTTCTGTTTTTTTAAATCAAGAATTGGGCTGCTCAATTCTCATTTTATTTATCCTTAAATTTAAATACATACTTATATCTGTATTGATCTATTGACCCATTTGTATGCTTATATTTCTTTACCCTGGATTTTACAAATATAAGTAAAAAAAATTCCCAAAATATTAAAGTTGAATTCTGTAGGCTGTATATTTGCTCATGTAGTCCTTTGATGGGTACCTTAACCTGGTGTGCTGGTGCACATCTATAATCCCAGCAACTTGGGAGGCCAAGGCAGGAGGATTGCAAATTTGAGGCCAGTCTCAGCAACATAGCAAGGCCCTAAGCAACTTACTGAGATCCTGTCTCAAAATTAAAAAAAAAAAAAGCGGGGGACAGGGGTGTGTGTGTGTGTGGCTGGAATGTAGCTCAATAGTAAAGCACTCCTAGATTCTATTCCCAGTTACCACCTCCCACCAAAAAAACAAAAACAAAAAAAACTAGGTATCAGCAGGAAAAGAAACAACCAGCCAGTAGGACCAGGTCTGTAAAACTCTTGGGCCCTTGAATCATTGTGGGCTAATGTATAGTAGTGTTTTGCTTTGTTCTAATAAGAATCAAAGATGACTTCTATGCCATTTGAAATAAAATACAAAGTTAACAAAAAGGAAGTAAGTCACATTATTGAAGAAACAGTCTGACTTTGTTTCCTCTCAGTCTTGCTGATAAAAGTGTGTGCGTATTGTTGCAGGAGCTGTGTAGAAGAGAGACATCATACCTACACTTGGAGCTGCTGCCTAAGAAAGCTGTCTTGCAGATTTCAGCAGTTAGTAAATGAGAAGGAAACAAAACTGGACTAGGTGTTCAGCAGTCCCCACCTTGGAAGTTCCACTTTCAGACTATGGTCTGAAAATATTAAATGAAAAATTCCAGAAATAAATAAGCAATAAGTTTTGAGTTGTGTGCCTTCCTGAGTAGAGTGATAAACTCTCATGCCTTGCCTCCCAGGACAGGAATCATTGCTTTTTCCAGCATGTCTATGTTCCATGGGAGAGTCAATGGAGCTATGTTGCTGTAGCCATGAATGCCAGTGCCCGTCTCCTCTGGCATTGGACCAGCCTGCTGACACATGTCTATGTTCTACCCATTCATTCATCACTGGTAGCTACGCCTATATAAAGTTCTGAATTGAGTTACTCCATGATGACTAGAACAGCAGTTTTCAGGACCTGCCTTACCTCTGAACTACTCCATTTTGGAAAGCAGTAATTTGCCAGGATTGCTCTGTTTTGAGTATAAATGGGCTAAAATAGAATGACAATATCCCTTGTTCGTACCTGATGTGTACAAAAAAAACCCACCATCTGCACAGCATAACCATAAGGCACAAACTGATAAATTAATAGTGCTAATAAAAATGACTACCTGTGAATGTATTGATTTGATGCATCATGTGGATGCATGAGCTTATCAAGAAATTGAGACCCATGAGCTTATTATTCTCACCAGATACAACCCCCTTACCTGAAATTCATGAAAGGAAAAACATCCCAAGACTGGTTTTGGGGGCCCATGGGGCACCTACCAACCTGCCAACAGACCATCAGAGTCCCCAGGTTTCCACTCAGCTTGATCTTCCTGTTTGATGCAGCCCACTTTGAAACTGCTTGCCTGCTGTCTGGACCCTGGCCTAGAATAAGTTCCCTTCTCTGGACCCTGAAGTTCTGGGGATGTTTAGTAATTCCAATCTGACCACTTGCAGTATCTCTTGAATTTGTATTTGCTGTCTGTCTTTACTCTCAGAGCAGCCCCCTAGAACTCTAACCACCTTAACCCTTCTTCACTTTTCTGCAAGCTATATACCTTATCAGTGTGTAAAGACTTGAATGTTCTAGATCTTAGTAATTAAGATTGGAATGAAAGAACCTGTCATTGCCTGACTTGTTCTACCAAGGGACCCATTCAGTACTTGAAGAATTGTAACCTATGAAAGTGATACAGCTTGTCAATTTGTTGTTATTCAATAAATTGTGACCCTGGGGAAGTCACAAGTATGTCCAGTCTATATTAATGGCACAACCTTATTACTTCAAGTGAGCAGGAGTATATAGGCAAAGCTTTGGGGGCAGGGGCAGAGAAGGAAGGGCCTTTACCTCCAGCTGAAAGGAACAGCCAAGATTGAAAGAGAAGTCAAAACTGCCTGTGAACACAAGAATGGTCCAGCCTTTTATTGAGTGTCTAAGGCTGGGAGAGTCAGGGTTGTTTTTTGTTGTTGTTGTTGTTGTTTTTGTCTTTTGTGGTACAGTGGATTGAATGGGGGAGAAGTGTGGGGGGTTAATCTTTCTTCCATTGATCTACATCCTGGTCCTTTTATTTTGAGGCCAGGCTGGCCTTGAACTCATAATCATCCTGCCTCAGCTTCCCAAATAGCTGGGATTACAGGCTTGTGCTATCTCACCCAACTAGGGTCTGATCCTTTTATGATAACTTATTTGAGAAGTTTCTTTCTGTGGAAGAGACTCTTGTGGAACAGGAGTCATAAATAACATAGGAACACTGTAAGGGACCTGCAAACGATGGAGGAAGAGACCACCAAGAGACCGTCTCATGCAACAGCAAAAGGGGGTTTATTGAAGATCCAGCGCGCTGGGGCTCCGTGCTCACTCAAGAAGGGAGAGCGGCCAAGAGCCCCGAGAACAACTTGTGTAGGGTTTATATACATTTTTTAGAGAGGGCAGGGACTTTACACACATCATAGTCCCCTTTAACAAATCATCATACACCGCGGGAAAATTAAACAACAACTCTCAAACATGATTAGTACATTCATTGGCGGGAACAGGTCGGGCAGGGGTGATAGGTCAGTCCTAAGACGGGGTATACATTCAAATTGATTGGTTTAGGCCCCGGGGTGCTTACGTGCTGAGCTGCACGGGTCAGGGTCATTAAGCAACTAGGTGGTCAAGGGGGTGTATTTCGACACACATCTAATGGGCAGTTCTGGGAATTATCTTAACTGCCACAGGAATTTCAGGTTCTGAGTGCAGCTTACAAACTTTACAAAACCTGGTCCTTTACATTTTAATTTCAATTTCTTTTATCCTTTCAACACAAGTTGGCTACTTCCTTCTTTTTAATTCTGTGTTGATTTCAGAAGGGTCCAGAAATACCATGGAGGCAGAGCCACTTTTAGGGATCTAAGAAAGCCCTATGGAAGGCTATTATTACCTCAGATATAGTAATGTTGATAGCACCGGTTTTTGGTGACAAAACTACTTCCTCACATGTTGAAGTTTGAACATTAGAGAAGAACATCAAGGCAAGCATATAAAGCAGGGTTTATTTAAAAGAGAGCAACACAGTTTCTCCCAGGAGGGAGCTGGTATCCTGGTATACCAAGAAATGAGGGTGTCCTGCCCCTGTTATACATCCTAGACTTTCTTTGTTCTACCTTCTTCCCTCTTTTTTTTTTTTTTGGTGGTGGTGCTGGGGATTGAGCCTTGTGCAAGCACTCTACCAACTGCAAGCACTCTACCAACTGCAAGCACTCTACCAACTGAGCTATATCCCTATCTCCCCGCTTCTTCCCTCTTAGTTCTCTTTTTCTACATATAAGACTAGGCTCAGGAGATGGCCCAGGTGGGATAGCTGAAGGGTGAGAAGCAGATGGGCGGGGTAAGAGCCAAATGGAGTGATCCAGGCAGGAAGCAGCCCTGGAGGTATTAATTAACAACTTCATAACTCCCTGTAGGGGAGGGACAATTCCAGGGACAGGTTATCTTAGCAACAGATTGGGAGGGGGCAGGTTATTTTGATAAGGGTGGAGGAAGGGCTCTAAAGGCATTAACATTTCAATCCCAGCCTCAGCAACTTAAGGAGACCCTGTCTCAAAATAAAAAATATAAAAGGTTGAGGATATAGCTCAGTGGTAGAGTGCCCCTGGGTTCAATCACTAGTATTGCAAAAAGAAAAGAGAAAAGAAAGAAAGAAAAAAAAGTGGAGGAGAAGGAAAACATTTAGTAACAGATCATGAATTAAGGCTGGAGAGTTTATCCATTTTATTCCCTGTTCTGGAACCTATTTGTTTTGAAGGGTCAGCCATTAACCTGTGAGATCTGATGCTTAATTATCCCATTTATAAATTCCTGACAAAGGGGCAGTTAGCCAATCTGTTCATTGTTCAATTTTATTATTATCCTTATTATTTAGTAGTGAGGATTGGTCCCAGGGGTGTTTTATCACTGAACTACATTCTAGTCCTTTTTACTTTTTATTTTGAGACAGTGTCCTGCTAAGTTGCTGCAGCTGGCCTTGAATTTGTGATTCTCCTGCCTCAGCCTTCCTGAGGTGCTGGGAATATAGATCTGCACCACTGCTCCCAGCTGTTGTTGTTTTATTCACAGTCACATATAAATCAAATCTTTCAAGTAGAAATTATAAAAGGAAAGAGTTGTTTTTAAAAATATTTTTATTCATATCACAAAAACATCACAATAATACAAGTAAAGCAAAACTTTTTAAAAATAGAGCTTGAAGAGTTATGGAAAATAATATTCCTACATGACAGCCCCTGGGAAAAACAGAAGGACAGTGTAGCTTGGTCTTGTAGGCATATTATTTCCCATAACCCTTCACAGTTATCAAGTATAATAATAATAACTTAATATAATTTATATATTATTTATATTTGAAATATTACAAATTTCTTCTTGAGGTTTCCTTAAGATATTATTTAAGGATTATAAACCTTAAATGCAGCAGCAGCTCCTGGTGTTTTTAGTTTTATTGTTTATTTTTTGATGTTTGAGTCTTTACCTTAAGTTCTTGTCAGCCCACTACCTTTATTTTTTTCAATGATTTGTTCTGAAAGCAACCACTTAAAAGCGTACCCATGTTTCCTAGAATCTGGCCCCATTAGAATGCTGCCAAAACGAAACATCTTAAATCCAGTCACATTTGAGAAACTTGGTCATCTTGCTCTCCAGTTCCATTTTCAGATGAGAATATCTGCCCCGGTGTTAGCTGGGTCCACTCCTGGTCCAGTGGAAGGCAGTTTCAGGGAAAGAGGACTTATAAGTAACATAGGAACACAGTTGACTACTTTCTTCTTTTCAATTCTGTATAGGCTCCAGGAACACCAAGAAGGAACACAACTTTTAAGGCTATTATTATTACCTCAGAAGATAGCTTACTATTTAAAAAAAAAATCTCATTTTAAATGAGAACTTTCTAAAAACATTTTATAAATGAGGTCAAACTCGTCAATTGTCATTTATCAACCTTATCAGTCCAATATGAACCAGTAAACTATGACTTAAAACTGTCCCTCTCCAACTTCACTATTGCTTTGAGGTACAAAAGATATGCACTCATACATCAGAGGAAATTAATTTTGGATATTTCTGTTTTCTCCGAAATCTGATGAGGAAGTTGGAGAGCAACAAAGGAAAAAAATATAATATTAAATGAGCCAGCCTCATTGGCTTATTGTCTGTACCCAGCTACCCGGGAGGCTGACACAGGAAGATCACAAGTTCAAGTTTAGCCTGGGCAACTCAGCAACACTCTGTCTCAAAAATGAAAACAGAAAAAGATGACGTGTCTGTGTGCTGGGGATGAGGTTTTGTGGTACAGCCTTCAATATTAAAAAAAAAAAAAAAAAATTCAGGCTGAGCTCATCAAGGTCACCAGAGCTACCTCACCCAAACGGAGGTGGAACCTGAGGAAACAAAATAAATAAATGAGTTTTCTAAGCCCTAAATTTGCAAGGGAGAAAAAAAATAAATTGTGCATTTTTAATCTCAAGGTAATTATTACTATTAATTTTTAACCTCAAAGGTAGCTTGAGGTAATATTATAGATATAAATCTTAATAGCTAAAGAATATGAAGGAAGTTTGGAAGTATGAGAGAATTTAGAACTAGACTAATTTTCTCCACATGAAATATATGGTCAAGCAAGTGTTGATTAAAGCAGTTACACTAAACAATCAAATGCTATTGATCAAGACTCTTCTGTGTGGGGGCAAAGAGGCATTAGACATGGTTGCCCTTTTCCATAGGTAGAAGTCTGTAAAGGGTATAAGACATGAAAATAAATTCTAGGCTATACAGAATTTCAGAGGCCAAATTCTCAAAACCATGTGGTAGTTATTGGATCTTCTTGGGGGGAAAGGACAGATTTCAGTATCAAGAAATGAGCAATACACTGAAATAAAAAGAAAACAGGGTAAATGTTTGGAAGATTGGAGAAATATGTAGTGAAAGGAGCTTAAAGTCCGGTTTGAGCCCTGCTTTAGCTCCTTCTCTGTATAATCTCAGCCAAATCACTCACCTCTGGGAGTCTGGGGTTTCTCCCCATAAAATAGAAATAGAAAGATATTGCTCAAAGACATTTTTATTTTATTTATTTATTTTGTGGTACAGAAGACAAAACCCAGGAGTGCTCTACCACGGAGCTTCATCCCTGATATGAGTACCAGAAATATTATGAGAATTGATTATTAACTATACTGATTATTGATTAAATATTGAGTGACTGTAAGCAGTGTGCCAATGATGTAATGTGAACTGCAGAACTTAGATAGACTTAAGTTAGTGATGTAAGAGGATACACCCAGGGTGTAACCAGGTACACCCCAGACGCCACCCAGCTAACATCTGGAGACACAGCTGAATGAGGGCTTTAAAAACCTAGAATTCTGTGAGCTGGTGGGGCTGATAGGACTGAGATACCTCCATTGCTTTCGCCACCCCACCTGCACCAGACTCCTCCGGCCTGGGTCGAGTTCTAGCATAGGTGAGCATCTGGGACCCTTGGGTATAGACTCAGTTAGGACTTAGAATTAGGATGTGTGTGTTGAAGTGTGATGAGCATTAATAAAATGGATTTGATTGAATCTAACTACTTCTCTGACTATAAGAACGGCTGGTGACAATCCCCTGTGTGGGGCCACCCAGAGCTATTTGAAAAGCCTCCATTCGGCCTTGGAACCAAGGAGATTTTGGTCTGGCATGGCAAGTCATTTTGTGGCTTTGTAAGGATGACCTTAACCTAAGAAGGGCCTTAGCCTAAGTAACTCCATTTTAAAATAAAACAGCAGTCCCCACCACACAAGCCTCAGAGCCCTCCAATGTTGTCATCAGGCATAGCCTGATAAGTCACTTTCCACAACCCTGATAAAACTCAGAGTGAAGTCCCTGTCATTTACTTTCGTCCTGATAAAGTCAGAGGCGAGAGATCAGGGCAGAAACCACCAGACCAGATGTCCTGACCCTAGAATAAAAGACATCACTGAGAAATCTGGTAATGGCTGATAGGGAATGAAAGGGTGGGTAGAAGCCCCAAAATTTAGCATAAATGATGGAGCAAATGAACAGACATTTAGTCAGCCGACACTGATGCCCACATGTTGGAGAGCCAGATGAGGACCTGGACTGACATCCCAACTCTTCTCATCATCTGCTTGATCCTCTGCAGCATCCTCACCACTCTCAAACTCTACAGCCATATCTTGACCCTGGTGACTTCTCCTTACAACCCTCTCCTCAGTGGGTCATCAGCTCCACCCCAGGAGAAGCCTCCATTGGTTCCTGACCTGATCACTGTGGCCTGAGTGAATGTGCATCTGCTGGACTTAAGGCCTAAGGCTTGAGACTTTAGATCTGGCACTTGAGCTTAGCATGCAGAGGGAATGTGTGTAATGAGTCTGTCCTGATTAAGTGTGTTTGCAGTGCTTAGAATGAACTTAGAATTATTTGTTTTGGATTGATTATGTCTATTGCAGGGCTCAGCATTAAGGATTGTCATTTTCTTGATTAAGAACCTATAGAGTGAAATTGTATTGAATAATTTGAGTGAATAAAGCATTGAAAAGGGCATTAGCGCATAGACATTCTTTATTTCTCCCCTCGACTGCATATGTCACACCTTTGCCCATTGCAACAGGCTTCCCCCACTTAATGGATTAAGCAAAGCACTTTGTGACCTCAGTCTTTGGTTGGCTAGGGAGGCTGCCCTGTAGCTCTGGAGTTGGCATGCCCACTGGGCTTGGACAGCTCACCTCCTACCTTATTTGGCGAAAGAACATTCCATGGAAAACCTTTGAAGAAGCCCTCTTGTATAAATAAAGCAAATGTGGGCTCTTCTGTCTCTCTCCCCAGTGTGGAAGCAGGACCCCTAGGGTTGCAGAGTCATCACATCCTCACTTTTTAAAACTACTTTCTGTGTAGGGTGATTTTTTTGCTGCATTCTTTTCTTAGCATTATTTCGCAGCCAGCCCGTTCCACACAGAGAAAACCCAAATTTCACAGCCCGTGTGGGACATGGACAAGAATCCCTAGTCATTTTTATTTTTCATTTTGAGACAGAGTCTCACTAAGTTGCTAAAGCTGGACTCAGACTTGTGATCCTCCTGCCTCGGCCTCCTGAGTAGCTCATAGAGATTTTTATAAGACTAGGATGACATGGTAGGCTGGGCATGTTAACACACATCTGCAATTCCAATGTCTTGAGAGGCTGAGGCAGGAGGATAGCAAGTTCAAGGTCAGCCTCAGCAATTTAGAGAGGCCTGGAGCAACTTAGCATGACCCTTCTCAAAAAAAAGTACAGGGCAGAGGTGGGGATGTAGCCCAGTGGTAAAGCACCTCTGGGTTCAATCCCTACTACCAAAAAAAAAAAAAAAAAAAAAGAAATGGTGCTTTTGAAAAACCTAAGGGGTTTTTCATTTTCCTTTATTTTTAAAGGAAATTCTACAGGTTCTCATTTCTCATGCAGGGATTACCTGAAACTTCATAAGTTAAAGCTAAACATGAGTGTTATAAATACCCTACACCTGATATCAGTAAAGATTTCAATGTTCCAATGTTAAAAGACCACTGTCTTTTAGGAGAACACCAAATTGATAGTCAACAGTGTAACTCTCACAAAAGCTAAATTTCCTTTAAAAGAAAGAATATTCCAGATCCTAGATAGTGATTTCCTCCTGTGTGTAGAGTCACTAAGACAGATCTAAAAGTCTTGAACTCCATTCACTAGCATCTAGTGCCTGGAAATGAGGCTATGTGAACACTGGTAAGTACTGAGGATGTTTAGACTGAAGAGATCAGCTGGCGTGTAGAGTTAAAAGTTTCAAAACTTTTCCTGTAGGCATTGGGGTCTCTTCTGAGTTTTTAAGTGAGCAAAGGACATGGCAGAATAATTCTTGATGTAATTTGGCTGAGTGATTGTTCAGAAGGATGAGTCTGTCAGGAAGAGGCAGAGAAATCAAGGAAGATGTGATCACGTCAGTACGAACTGACCCCAATCTGTGTCCACGAAAAGTGAGACATATAGGGAAAATGAATGATTGGAATAAGAAGTTAGCTCAGGAGTTTTATAAATAAAGATACTGAGTTGGCTGACAAGAGGAGAAGATTTCAGGCTGGAGATGTAGCTCAGTTGGTAGGGTGCTTTCTTTGCATGCACAAGGCCCTGGGTTCAATCCCCAACACCACAAAAAAAAAAAAAAAAAAAAAATTCAAGATGGCAGAATAGCACCTTCAAAGGAAGAGAGGGGGGCTTTTATTTTTCATTTTGAATGAAATCTATTTAGAGTAATATGAATAAAGTTTTTGAGGTGAGGTAGTAAATAAAAGAGCTCACTTTTGCTACTAAGAGGAAGAAAGAGTGCCTCAGATCAGCACCATCCCATATGTCCCACAGGGTAGAGAAGAGCTAGAGGAAGCTACCTTTTCATATTATGTTTAGCCTCAGGCTTCTGCAGGTCCTCTTTAAATGCGGGCTGTCGTCCTCATCTCAACTCCTTCCTCATTCCTTCTCTGCATGCGCATGCGTAGTACTTGGGAGATAAACATGAACAATAAAAATGATATTAAGTCTACCTTAAATCATGGCTGTGTGTTTCAGCAAGACTTCAGACTGCCTTAGATCTAGAGCAGTGGTTCTTAGACCAGGGGGAACTTCATCCTCTCCCACCAGAGGACATTTGGTAATACTTCAAAAAAGACATTTGGTTGTCACAACCCGGGCAAAGGTGCTCCTGGCACCTAGTGAGTAGAGGCTAGGCAAGTTGTTAAACATCCTTTAGGATACAGAACAGCACTCTAAAACAAAGAATTATTCGGCCCAAAATGTTGATAGTAATAGTGCTCAGAATGAGGATCCCTGAATTAGAGGGTAAGGTTGAATAGTTTGTATTTGAAATACTCTTGAGTCCCACCCATGGAGTAATTTGCTCATAACACAGTCACTTTTGACTTTCTCTGAGCATTGACATTTTTGTGAGTGTGCTGAAAGCTAGAAAAATCAGCAGAAGGTGGTCTTCTAATTTTCTTCACTCAGTGTGTGTGATTTCAACTCCAGGAAGTTTCAGAATCCCTTGCTGGTAATTACAGCTATAGCTTTGGCCTAGCAGTTCCTCTTCATTTAATCACAGAGATCTAAGGCAGAATGTGTCAAAGGCCACAAGTTTAAATTCCTAGAGTAAAATATACTACACGTATTTTCATCAACCACTTTTCCTCATCTTTTATCCAAAAATGTGTTCTGAAGACTTGAGCATCGGTGAGCAACTGTGGCCACGTAGTTTCTCAACTTCATTAGTGCATCTTGTCGTCCTTCAAGAAAATAACTCTTGCCCTTGAAATCTTGATGTTCTGCCTTTCCTCTAACTCCAAACCAAAGATTAAAAATATCAATTAGCACTGGATATGTTTTCAAATTAGTTAGCAAGCCTCAGTATCTCCAAGAAAATACAAAATTAGGGAAAATAAAAGGGCCATGGTAGAATGCATATTAAGGGCACTGACTTCTTGTCTTTGTTAACTCCAGCACCTAGGAAAGTGCCAGGTACATAGTAGGTATCAAAAATATTTGTGCAGAGAATGAAAAGAACTTATTGAGACAAGTTAAAAAAGACATTGAAGTTATCATAGACTTGCTCAAACATGAGAAGTGTTTTTTCACTGCTGTGATTAAAAAGATCTGACTAGAACAATTGTAGAGGAGGAAAGGTTCATTTGAGGGCTCATGGTTTCAGAGGTCTTAGTCCATAGAAGGCTGGCTCAATTCCTTGTGGCTCAAGAGGAAGTAGAACATCATGGAGGAACAGTGTGGCAGAGTGGAGCAGCTCATGTGATGATCAGGAAGCAGAGACAGACTCCCCAAGCCATGCTCCAATTCCCACCCCCTCCAGCCACACTTTAGTTACCACTCAGTTAATCCCTATCAAGGGACTAAATGACTATTTGAGTTAAGACTCTTACAACCCAATCATTTCTCCTCTGAACCTTCTTGCATGGTTTCATACATGAGCTTCTGGGGGAAACCTCACATCCAAACCATAACAAGAAGAGAATAGGCTAAAATGACAGAGAGATGCTGAAACACACTAATAGAGTTTGGGCTTCCAGGAATTGAGATCATGATGATATAAAGGTAGTTACTTACTGCAAATGAAACAGGTCCCAAGTATTACAGTGATGCCTACACACACTGGGATTAGGATCTTTCTCTTCCAGAGCTGATCATCAGGAGGATCTTCCTTGGCTGTGGAGGGAAAAGAAAAATGTTCACTACAGCTTGATTTCCATCCTGTCCTCTTCTATATGCACACGAGGAGAATTATTCACTTCTGTGCCTCGTCACCTCACCAAGACACAGCTGCTAACAACTTTCTTGTATAATTCTTCAATCAGACACATACTGAGGGCAACTAATCTTCAGATGTCAGGCACTGAATATGAGAAGGACAGTTTGAACTTTTGCATTTACTGAGCTAAGTGAGCAAAAGAAAGAGTCTAATGCCTGGTGCGGTGTACTCCCGTAATCCCAGCGACTCGGGAGGCTGAGGCAGGGGGTTGGCAAGTTTGAAGCCAACCTTGGCATTAGAGATATCCTGTCTCAAAATAAAAAATAAGAAGGGCTGAGTTTGCAGCTCAGTGATAAAGTGCCCCTGGCTTCAATCCCTAGTACCCCATCCCCCACAAAAAAGGAAAGAGTCTGAGGAGATACTGTAAAAGGCATTTTGTCTTCATCACTACGTCTTCCTACTAATACTTAGCTGATGTCCCATTCTACATATACTTTATTTCTCCTTCTCTAGTTCTGTCCTGCTTTCTACCTTTCTCTTAGCATGTTCTCTTCCCACACATACTACTGTCTGGGATGGCAGTCCTCCTGGATGATCTCATCCATTCCCAAGGCTTGAAATGCCATGTGTTATCATATTTCTGATCTGATTTCCAAGCTCCAGATTTTGTAGTTTTGGGGCCTGACGAGATGGTTGGAGGTCGGCTTCTCCACCTGATTAAAACGGAACTCACTATATTCTTTCCGAAAGCACATCTGCCACCTGTATTCACCAGGGCAGTGAGTGCCACCATCAGTTATCTCCATGCATGATATGTTTTCTTGGTATTCACTTCCCAGTAGCCTACCATCCTGGGCTTTTGTATATACAGTACCTCTGGTGCTGATTGCTTTTTCCCAAATCTCTCGCAGGGACTGCTTTAGTTTGGACTTTTCTCATTTCCTACTTAGTATCCTCCAAACTGTCTCTGCTGTCTCAGGTGTGTTAGGCTGTAACAATTCCTACACATTGCTGCTACAGTCATTATTCTAGAATGTGTTTCTGATCACAGCATACCTACTAATGACAGATTAGGGAAAGTTGGCTCTTCTTCTTTTTTTTTGGTTAAATACCACATTACAAGGAGACATCAAGGTATTATCAAGGTAGGCCTCTGTCATCCAGAAAGACACACAAAATAACAAAGAGGCCTTCACCCGCCCACCGGGTTATCCTGGGATTCTGGAATTTCACAGCCTCTGGCTCACACCTGGCTTCCTCTCAGAAGCCATTCACACCCACCTGGGAGCTTCATTTAGCCTTGAGGGACCTTGTGGGAGTGAGGGAAAGAAGGAACCATACCTGGCAGCAGTCTACTGGCCCTGCCTGGATGCTATTAGAAAGCTGTCGACACACCACAGGTGCAGACTCAGAAGCAAGAGCACACTGAGCCGGGACACCTGAGCCTAAAGCTTCTTAGACACCATGAGTGGGGGTCCCCAGTTTACCTCTTTCCAGTTTATCAAGGTTTAACAAATTTGGCAGGTCTAGACTACAAAAATCTATATACCCAATCTGTTTAATTAATTATTGGATTTTTAATTACTTTTATTATTATGTTTTTACCCAAATGGAGCACAACTTTTCATTTCTCTGATTGTACATGGTGGTGTAGAGTCATACCATTCTTGCAATCATACCCATTCATAGGGGCAATAATGTTCATCTCATTCTACCATCTTCCCCCACACACTCTGCCTCTCCTCTCCTCTCCCTCCCTTCCCTCCCTTCTGCTCAATCCAAAGTTCCTCCATTCTTTCCATGCCCCCTGCCCATTGTGGATCAGCATCCACTGATCAGATAAAACATTTGGCCTTTGGTTTTTTGGGATTGGCTTATATCGCTTAGCATGATATTCTTCAACTCTGTCCATTTACCCATAAATGCCATAATTTCACTCTTCTTTAAGGCTGAGTGGTGTTCCATGATGTATATATATCACAGTTTCTTTATCCATCCATCTAGTGAAGGGCATCTAGGCTGTTTCCTCAGTTTAGCTATTATGAATTGAGCTGCTATAAACATTGAATTGGCTGCATCGCTGTAGTATGCCAGATCAGGTATTCTTATAGCAAAGGTTTACTCACATTAACCCATAACATTTTTATGAACTATACACACCTAACCTATTTATGTTTATATGGTTACCCTTGACCACATACAAATGCATTATTTACTTTCGACTCAACTCTAAATGATGCCTGCAGCCCAGTTAGTGAAATTTGAGGTGTTTATACTCTAAAGTTCTCCAACCACAAAGACAAAACCTACACATTAGCTAGCAACAGTGCCTGGGCCAAATCTGGACTACCACCTATTTTAAATAAGGTTTTATTCAAATACAGTCATGTCACTCATTGACATGTCAATGCTGCTTTATGTACAGCAGCAGAACTGAGCTATTGCAGAAGATACTGTGTGACCTGTAAAGTCTGAAATATTTACTATCTGACTCTTTTCATAAAATTTTTTGGCAACCTTTGTCCTAAAATGTCACATATACCCATTGGTATATTGGTATATGGTTGGGGGAGGATCCCAATGGTCCTCTGTTATGGTTAGCCATATGAGTTAGAAAATGAATTTCAAGTATTTGAGTTCTCCTGTGATAACCTACATGGGTTTAACATACCTCTAAACCCAACTTTTTCATTTTATATTTTCAGATAATCTCATTTCTTAGGGAAAGAGAATTCTATAGTATTGCCCACAAATTTTTTAATCATTCACATTTTTTATCAGACTTGGTTCTGAATGAACCAGTAGTTCCTATTAAGCACATTCAGTCACAAAAGACAAAGATTTTTACCATGGAACCATTGAGGTAGGCTGCTCTAAAAGAAAATGCCAGAACCCTGAAGGAAATTCCAAAGAAATACTAATGTTACTGCTTTATTTATTTATTTCTGGTTCTGGGTATTAAACCCAAAGCCTCTCTACCACTAAGCTACCTCCCCAGCCCTTTTTATTTTTTTATTTTGACATAGGGTCTCACTAAGTTGCTGAGGCTGGCCTTGAACTTGAGATCCTCTTGGCTCACAGTCACAGGATTACAGGTGTGTGCCACCATGCTCAGGCAAATTTTAGTGATTTTAATAAAAACAATATTATTACAATAACTCACCTACAACGACTACCTGATAAATAGCAGTTATTAAGTATATAAATTTTAGAATATTTATTCTAGGAACACTATCATCACACTTTGTGCAATAAACTTAACAAGACATAATAGCCTAACTTGTGTGTCTAAAATGACTGTAAAATTACTATCAGTAAGTTTGATCTAAAGCATATCTGGCTGAGTTCTTTTCAGATTCCATGCAGTAAAATATCCCCAGGAAAAGGTGGCTTACGTTTTTCCCAGTTGAATATCTGTGACACTGATAAGTCTCCATACTTGACGAGACACACAAAGCTGTGGTTGCTCGTGACATTGAAATCCAGGTTGCTGTAAACAGTGTACAACTCAGTTTCAGGATCTTGGTAAACTGTAGTGTTGACAGCTTTTACTTCTTCTCCATTTTCCAACCAGAAGAGATAAGGCTTAGGAAATCCTCCAGAGGTGGAGCATGTTATCCTTCTAAGGTCAGGAGATGGATGTTCAAAGTCTATTATGCTGGGGGTAGGGAAGTCAGCTAAAGAAAGAACAGGATAGAACTAGAGTCAGATATCTAGGCATATGGCTTTATATTCTTGGTCAATTATTTAGTTTTATTAAGAATGATAAAATGAGATATAATTTGCAACTCCTCATAAGTCATTAATAGCTGTGTATAATCCAAAGACTTCAATTTGAATTGGTTGTATCCATTTTTTCACCACTTTTGATGGAGATCAGAAGACACTTAGAGAAAGAAATAGGTTCATGTGACTAAATGTTGACAGAGTACTTGTGATTGTTAGAGGCAAACAGAAAAAATAGCAAACATTTATTGAGCTCTATTCACTTAGGTCTGGACATTATCTTATTTTGTCTTCACAGCAACACTAAAAGGTACATATAGATCAAAAAAGGTCAGATATCAAGCAATACACAGTGGTGCACACCTATAGTCCCAGTTACTGGGGAAACTGAGGCAGAGGGATCACTTGAGCCCAGGAGTTGGAAGCCAGCTTGGGCAAAGCAGCAAGACCTTGTCCTTTAAAAAATATACAATTAAAAGGTTGAATGTTTATAAGATGTAACCTAATATACTTTCTGTGTTATAAATAATAAACTGAGATCTGGAGAAATCAAAACTGGGAGGTAACAACTGGGGTCTGCATTCAGGTTTTCCTGACACCAGAGCTTTGTCCTTGCTATCCCTTTTTTTCCTTTTTTTCTGTCACTTGAAGTAAAAAAATACCTCTCTTCTATTTAATCTGTTTATTTGGTAAAGCCACCACCCTCCTGAGCCATTTTTAGTTGGCATTATTGTTATTTCCTACTTGTTAATTTATCCATAAGACCAAATCATTACTTTCATACATTTGTTTCTTTTCACATCATTATGACATGGGTTATAACCTGGAATAACAAATCAAATAAATCATATTCTAAATTATTCGAAGTCAGATGGTTTACAGACATATAAACATTTGCGAAATACCACTTCAATGGACACAATTTAGAAAATTCAGAATGGTTCTGGGTGAAGTAGGTCACTTTTCCCTTTTTGTTTTCTTTTAACTGATGTCTCTCCACCCCCATTCCAGGACACCATTAATCTCATGTTTTGCTGTCCTTGGTCTTCTACTGTAATCTGCCACCAGAGCCTGCCCTCCCTAAAAGGTTTTCTCTTCCCCTTCTTGGATTTTTTTTTTTTTTTTTTTTTTGTATGTGTGTATGTGGTGCTGGTAATTGAACCCAGGATCTCTCACATGCTAGCAAGGACTGAACTACATCCCCAGCCTTTTTTATTTTATTATTTTTTTTACTTTTTAAAAAATTGTTCTAATTAGTTGTACATGACAGTAGAATGCATTTTGACACATCATACATGAATGGAGCACAACTTCTCATTCCTTTGGCTGTACATGGTACAGAGTCACACTGGTTGTGTAATCATACATGTGTATAGGGTAATAATGTCCATCTCATTCCACCATCCTTCCCACCCCCACAGTCTTCCCCTTCCCTCTCTCCCCTCCCCCAGTCCAAAGTTCCTCCATTCTTCCCTAATTTCACCACTCTGCCCGGCCCCCACATTATGGATCAGCATCTGCTTATCAGAGAAAACATTTGGCCTTTGGTTTGGTGGGTTTGGTTTATCTCACTTAGCATAATATTCTCCAGCTTCATTTACTTGCAAATGCCATAATTTCATTCTTCTTTAAAGCTGAATACTATTCCATTGTGTATATATATCACATTTTCTTTATCCATTCATCTGTTGAAGAGCATCTAGGTTGGTTCCATAATTTAGCTATTGTGAATTAAGCTGCTATAAACATTGATGTGGCTGAGTCACTGTAGTATGGTGATTTTTAATTTAATTTAATTTTTATTTTTTTGGTACCAGGGACTGAACTCAGGGATACTCGACCACTGAGCCACCTCCCTAGTTCTATTTTGTATTTTTTATTTAGAGACAGGGTCTTGCTGAATTGTTTTGTGCTTCACTTTTTTCTGAAGCTGGCTTTGAACTCATGACCCTTCTGTCTCAGTCTCCAGAGCTGCTGGGATTATAGACGTGCGCCACCACGACGGGGTCTAGTATGCTGATTTTAAGTCCTTTGGGTATGAACTGAGGAATGGGATAGCTGGGTCAAAGGGTGGTTCCATTCCAAGGTTTTTATTTTATCTTGAGACAGGGTCCCATTCAAGTTGCTAAGGCTGGCCAGGAACTTGTCATCCTCCTGCCTCAGCCTCCCAAGTAGCTGGAATTACAGGTGTGCACCACCATGCTCAGCTTTTTTTCCTTTTTTTTTTTTTTTCTTTTTTTTTGTACAAGAGATTGAACCCAAGGGCACTTAACTGCTGTGCAACATCC